AAAAAGCTCCTCGGTGGCAGGGCCCCAGGGGTGGATGAGATTCACCCAGAGTTCCTTAAAGCTCTGGATGTTGTAGGGTTGTGTTGGCTTACGCAACTCTGCAATATTGCGTGGACATCGGGGGAAGTTCCCCTGGATTGGCAGACCGGGGTGGTGGTCCCCCTATTCAAAAAGGGAGACCGTAGAGTGTGTTCCAACTACAGAGGAATCACGCTCTTAAGCCTCCCTGGTAAGGTCTATTCGGGGGTTCTGGAGAGGAGGGTCCGTCGGATAGTCGAACCTCGGATTCAGGAGGAGCAGTGCGGTTTTCGTCCTGGCCGTGGAACACTGGACCAGCTCTACACTCTCAGCAGGGTCCTGGAGGGTGCGTGGGAGTTTGCCCAACCAGTCTACATGTGCTTTGTGGACTTGGAGAAGGCGTTCGACCGCGTCCCTCGGGGGGCCCTGTGGGGGTTACTCTGGGAGTATGGGGTACTGGGCCCTTTGATACGGGCTGTTAGGTCCCTGTATGACCGGTGTCAGAGCCTGGTCCGCATTGCCGGCAGTGTCGGGCTTGTTCCCGGTGAGAGTTGGACTCCGTCAAGGTTGCCCTTTGTCACCGATTCTGTTCATAACTTTTATGGACAGAATTTTTAGGCGCAGCCAAGGTGTTGAGGGGATCCGTTTTGGTGGCCTTAGGATTGCATCTCTGCTTTTTGCAGATGATGTGGTCTTATTGGCTTCATCAGATCGTGATCTACAGCTTTCGCTGGAGCGGTTCGCAGCCGAATGCGATGCGGCCGGGATGAAGATCAGTCCCTCCTAATCCGAGGCCATGGTCTTGAGCCGGAAAAGGGTAGAGTGCCCTCTCCGGGTCAGGGAGGAGGTCCTACCCCAAGTGGAGGAGTTCAAGTATCTTGGGGTCTTGTTCACGAATGAGGGAAAAATGGAGCGTGAGATCGATAGGAGGATAGGTGCAGCGTCTGCAGTGAAGCGGGCGCTGTACAGGTCTGTCGTGGTGAAGAGAGAGCTGAGTCAAAAGGCGAAGCTCTCAATTTACCGATCGATCTACGTTCCCACCCTCATCTATGGTCACGAGCTTTGGGTTGTGACCGAAAGAATGAGATCTCGGATACAAGCGGCCGAAATGAGTTTTCTCCGCAGGGTGTCTGGGCTCTCCCTTAGAGACAGGGTGAGAAGCTCGATCATCCGGGAGGGACTCGGAGTAGAGCCGCTGCTTCTCCACGTCGAGAGGAGCCAGTTGAGGTGGCTCGGGCATCTGTTTAGGATGCCTTCTGGACGCCTCCCTGGTGAGGTGTTCCGGACACGTCCCACCGGAAGGAGGCCCAGAGGAAGACCCAGGACACGCTGGAGGGACTATGTTTCTCGGCTGGCCTGGGAACGTCTCGGGATTCCCGCGGAAGAGCTGGCCCAAGTGGCTGGGGAGAGGGAAGTCTGGGCCTCCCTACTTAGGCTGCTACCTCCACGACCCGACCCCGGATAAGCGGAAGAAAATGGATGGATGGATGGATGGATGGATCATAGGGTTTCACACTCTTAACACATAGTATATTAGAAAGACTTCACACACTGTTACATACTGTTATAGATTTGTTTCAGTAAATAAACGTTCTTGCTTTTCCAGAACACATACTCAGGGACCTGTGGTTTATGTTGCTCTCAACCTTATTTAGGTCATGAGAACTGACTTCATACCTCACCTGAAATGCACATCACTTGAAAATATATGTGTGTATGTGTGTATGTATTTGGTAGGCACAGCTTAACAACATTTAGCTTTGTTAACTAAAAAAACTTGCTTATTTAACATCAAACCACTAAACATTAAAATAATAATATTGCTAAAATGCTATCTTTTATCATCTACTACTGTTGCTGACACTGTAAGAATGTCTGTAAGTGAACTCAACTCAAACCAGTTCATAAATCACATGTTGTGATTTATGAACCGCTTTACTTGTGATTCACAAGTAAAGCGGTTCATAAATCACAACATGTGATTTATGAACCGCTTTACTTGTGATTCACAAGTGGTTCTACCAAAGAATTGTTCAAGAAGAATAAAGTTCTTGTTTTGGAATGGCCAAGTCAATGTCCTGACTTTAATCTAATCCAGGTGTTGGGGAAGGACCTGACTTGAGCATTTAATCAGAGTCAGAGTTTCTATATTTGTCTTATACACCACATGTGGTGGAACAAAATTATGTACACAGTATCCCAGTTATATCCAACAAATGTATAAAATGTAAAAGAAAAACAGGAAAAAGATATAAGATATTAATTAAGAAAAACATTTAACTAAAAATACACTAAGCATTGATAGTACAAAAACAATACGCTGAACAGCAGCATGATCATGAGTCTGTGTGAGCAGATGAGTACAAATGAACACAGCAGCATGATAAGCATAATGTGATAAGCAGCATGGTGTGAGGAAACCCATCAACATCCAGATATTAAGCTGTTCTGTATGGAGGAATGGGCTAAAATTCCTCCAAGCAGGTGTGCAATACTGATCAACAGTTACCAGAAACATTTAGGTACAGTTATTGCTGCACGAGGGCGCAAACCAGATACTGAAAGCAGAGGTTCACATACTTTTACCACTCACAAATATGTAATATTGGATCATTTTCCTCAATAAATAAATGACCAAGTATAATATTTTTGTCTCATTTGTTTAACTGGGTTCTCTTTGTGTGCAAATCTGATGATGTTTTAGGTCATATTTATGCAGAAATATAGACAATTATAAAGGCTTTACAAACTTTCAAACACCACTGTAAATATTCAAGCACTTTTTTAGAAGTCTGTTCCATTGCTTGTTAACACAAATAACTGATAGTGTGTCCTGTCAGTTGTGATGACAAGGTAAATACAAATGTATTTTTACTATTCTTGTGTTTCAGAGTGGAGAAGAGAGGAAGAGCAGCAAATCAATTCAAGCCTGCAAGGAGCTCAGCGGAAAGCAGCTCTCTGCTTCCTGCTGGAGCAGGAGACGGAGCTCATCGCTGCCATCGGGCACCATCACATCAACGTCCAGGCTGACAACCACGATCAAATAATCCAAGACTTCCTGAACAGGGTCAGAGCTCACTGTCTCACAGCACACTCACTTTAGAAAAAGATTCTTTCTCATTTTAAACCGTCTTTCAGCTCAGTGCTTACAAAGGAAGAGTTGTTCATTTTTAATTTGCACGTGCTTCAGATGCCTGTCATGGATTCATCAGATCTGTTGTGTTGACCTAGACCAGAGGTCTCCAACGTTTGGGGCCGCATGCAGTTCTTTGGTTCTCTGCAGCAGCTTTCTCTAGCTTTAACCAAAAATAATCTGACAATTAACAAGATTTTTATTCATGACCTTTTTGAAAAAGACCTATTTAAAGTGAATAAATGTGATGTGTAAGTGTGATTGAATAAATGTAAAACGTAAGGATTAATTAATTAAGGAGGGAGCGTTGGCGCACAGGCTAGAGAGGGTGGGCCTGATTGGAGGGTAACAGATCAACTCCCCGATTCAACACCTGACCAACCACATCAAATTGTAGGTGGAAAAGGTGAAACACCCACACCTGCCTCCACCCTCATTTGACACACTCTGGACCCATGAGCAAGGCCCTTAACCCCCCAGCTGCTCCCCGGGTACCTTATTGCTCACATGTGCAATGGGAAAAATGCAGAAAATTCATTTCTCCATTGAGGATTAATAGAGAACAATTTTCAAGGCTATTCATGGCCAGGCTCCTAAATACTAGTGGTGTAACAGTACATGTGGGTGTGGTGTATTGAACTGTTTCGGTAAAGCATTTTCAGTTCGGTCCACGTGCGTACCGTTTCGGTTATTTTTTCTCTCATTAAATTCTATTAGTGAGAGATTATGCACCACGGAACTAAAGTTCCTAAGCGTGTTTCAGCCCAGCTCTATAGTCTTGCAGCACACGTAGCATTAGCAGCCTAGCAGGCAGTGGTAGAGAAAGTACTCAAACATAGTACTTAAGTAAAAGTACAAATAAACAGACAAAAATGTATAGTAAAAGTAGAAGTGCCACATTAACGTTTTTACTTAAGGAAAAGTAAATAGGTACTTGCTTTTAAAAATATTTAAAGTATTACAAGTAAAAAAAAAAAAAAAAAACTTGCTGAATGTATTACCTAATGGTCTACAATATTATTAAGTGTGCCTACCGTATGTATATTTTCTGTAGTACATTAATAGTGTTGAGTCATTTTAATGAACAATGCTACAGATAATACATGTTCTATTTCATATAGGCTTTGCCCTTTAAGAGCTGTTGCTGGTGGGTTTATCTCATCATGCAAAGCATCGCACTGAAAAAATTTAGTCCACGCCCACCTGTTGTTTGGGCCCCACCCGGTCCGTATAAATTACGTTAAGAGCGGGTAATCGGCTCCCATTTTTTCTTCAGCAAGCTAATAGCACTGTCAGAAGAATGAATAAGGAAAGTTGTCCAGCTTGACCGGCACAACCTTGCTAAGGCTGCCTGGGTCCCCGCCATGCCAACCTCCTGCCGTCCCGGTGAGTTCTTCCTCTCCGAGGAGAAGCAGACGAGCAGCCTTGCTTAAAGGTAAGCACCGACGAATATTTTTCCGTGGCTGGTCGCTACCTACTGTACGACGCCATTGACCCTTTTTTCTTTTTAACGCTGACTCTCGGGGCGAATTGGATGGTTCCTCCGGGACAGGCGATGTCAGCAGCAGCCCCTGCTGCTCACTCCCTCCTGGAGAGCGTAGTGTCGGAACAAGGGGGGCTGAGCAGATGCTCCCCCCCCCCGGGCCTTTTCGCATCGGCGACCACACCGCTCCCAGCTGTCGGTGCCCTCCTCTCGGAGCTGCCCGGCATAATCCAGGAGGCGGCTGACATGAAGGGACTTTTTTTTCCCGTCCCTCTCCTCCCCCCACCCAGATCGGATGATCTAGCGGGAAGGTTTTTTGCCTCCACCCCGGCTCGCCATCCTGACCCCATCCGGCCTCGTTTTCCCAGCAGTGACGTCCTACTGGACCGAGGCTACAGCCGGACCTGGTAGACTGAGAGCGCTGGTTTCCACATTCACACCCATCACCAGAGTGGAGTGGTTTTACTGAGCGGAATTTCCCTCGGTGCCCCCCTGGAGCTAAGCCTGGCGGAGGCTCTTGGAGCAAAGATGTACAGGTTAGAACAGCATCCTGTACCTCCGGGGAAGCATGACCAGACGGTGGCATCGCTCTCCAACCGAGCTCACCAGTATGTGTTCCAGGTGGCCGCAGCAAACAATAACGTTGCGCCTCTGACGTATAGCATTTCAGAGGCTGGAGGGAACAGATCTGCCTCAGGAGACAAAGAGCTCCCTCAGCAAGGCGTCTGACGTCACCCTCAACCTGTGCGCCTCGTCTACTGTCTGCCTGTCTCGCATCGCAGCCTGGATGACAATGGTTCAGAAGTCCACCTGGCTTTGTCACTCCCTCTCCCTGTCGGAGAAGCTGCAGATGAACTCGCTGAAAGGCCCCATCACGACGGGTGTGCTGTTCGGAGCCAATTTCAAGGCCATGCTCGAAAAATAGAAGAAGTCGGAGGAGATGTCGGAGACTGTGCGCCATCTGATCAAGCCACACGCCTCCTCTCGCCCCCCCCCCCCCCCCCCCCCCCCGCCCGCTGGAGAGAGTGCTGTGACTAGAGGCAGCAGAGATGCGCCACAGCTGCAGCAGCGTCTTATCGCTACGCTCCACCGCCAGCCCCTCCCGTCAGAGTATAGCCCTCCTCATCTCGGCAACCAGCGGTGCTGCATTTCCCCAGAGACCGCAAACAGGTGCTGCCCTGAAACAAGCTGCAGGGCTCATGGGGGAGAAGATTAAAAAATGACTCATTACGGAGGATGTGTGTGTGCATAATGATGGTTTGAGTTTTGAAATAAAACGTAAACATTATTCAGGAATTAAAGTGTCTGATTTCAGCCTGACTGTCAGTTCGTATGATCTCACAGCGGCTTCTCCTCACACATACCCCACACAAAGCAAGCCAATGTCCTCCAAACAGGGTTTTAAATCACCGCAGCCTGAGAAAACACACAGAATGCGCGTGTGAGTGACACAGCAGCCAAAGTGAATGTTTTCAGCAGACCCGAGTCCAGTGGGAAACCGCGCTCTCAGCCCAAGCTGTGCGCTGCCTCCTCTGACCACAGCGGTGACAAATGCGCACCCCCGCGGCAGCCCTCACCCACACGGCTCCGCATGCCCAGGGGCACGCATGCCTCCCCTCAGCGCACGCCAGCTCACATCAGCACGGATGTGAGCCCGCAGCCTTAGCGCAGCATAGAAGCACCTTCAGGGCCCCTCCGAGGAAACCTCCTTGGGTGGCTCGGAGTACACCTCCGCAGCACATGACGGTGGTGATGGGCGTCCGTAAAAAACATGACGCAGCATAAAAGCCTGCCCACTTCTCGAACGTTACGCGGAGTGGCAGCGAGCGTGCGCTCTAGACAGATGGATGAACCGTCTTATCAGCAGGGGATACATGCTGCAGTTTGTAGCTCAACACCCCCCCCCCCCGTTTGGAGGAACTTTAGAGACATTTCTGTCATCTCCAGAACAGATCTTGTTCCTCCACGCAGAAGTTCAAGAAATTCTGATAAAAAATGTAATTTCCAGGGTTCTAGGAAGAGAGAAAAACACAGGGTTCTACTCTCGTCACTTCCTGGTCCCAAAACGGACCGGAGGGATGAAACCCATCTTGGATTTGTCAATTTACAACTGTTAGACAACATTTCATTCAAAATGCGTCGAGTCGGCTCTGCAGCCGCTACACAGAGCAGGGATGAGAATTCTGTTTTATCTGGACGATCTGTTGCTGCTGACCCGTTTTCCAGACAGGTGGCAGCAGTGCAACTCAGGCGCTGACGTCACACCTGCAAAATCTAGGCTTCACCATAACGGGGGGAAGAGCTCAGTTCACCCGGCCCAGACGATTGGTTATCTGGGAGTGAAGCTAAACACGGTCACTACGAGGGCTCATTTATCTCAGACATGAACCGAAGCTCTAAAGGACCAACTCCTCCACGTGAAGCCGGCAGAGTGATAACAGCTGTTTTCTGTCATGAAGTTATTAGGGACATGTCGTCTGCTCACACGGTGCGACGCCTCCAGAGGTGGTTCGCTCGTTTGCAGGTGGACCTGGTGAAGCAGAAGGGATGGTTGATCGCTGTGCCCCCCTCCATGAGAATTGACCCGAGACACTGGGAAACCCTCTTGTTCTGTCAGAGGGAGTCCCCATCAGCAGACCTATGTCACACGTGTCAGTCTTCACAGACGTGTCCCTGTCAGGCTGGGGAGGCACATGCATGTCTCGAGCTGTGGGGGCGCTGTGGCCACCCCACACAACAGCTCATATAAATGTTTTTGAGTGTTGCACGGTTTTGAATGTGATTCAACACTTTGCCTCTGCTACGGAATCAACATGTGTTGATTCACACAGACAACAAGTTCATTCAACCTTTTTTTAGACAGGTAATCCCATTGAGCCTCTAGGATTCATTTACAAGTGACTGCAGCATACATAAACCGGCAGGGGGGTTGTGCGCTCAGCCTAAATGTTACACATTGCGGGACGGCTGCTGTGTTGGGCACACCAAAATCTGCTCTCCATTAGAGCAGTGTACACCCCCAGTGTTCTGAACAAAAGGGCGGATGTGATGTCCAGGGGTGGTCCGCGTCACGGGGACTGGAGCATCCATCCCGAGCTGATGGCTCAGACATGGCAGAAATTTAGCAAAGCAGCCAAGCAAAGCAGCCATGGACTTGTTTGACACAAGAGAACGCTCAGTGTCAACTATGGTTCTCACTGAGCCCACGGGACGAACCACCGCTAGGGGTGGACGCGTTTGCTCACAGCCCGTGGCCCAAAATGCTTCTTTACGCATTTCTCCACTCCCTCTGATATCACGGTTTCTGAACCGAGTTAGGGAGGAGGGACTGACAGACCTCCTGGTGGCTCCCGAGCGTGTGAATGCCCCGTGGTTCCCAATTCTACAAAGCGTGTTATCGGGGCACCCGTGGAAACTGCCTTGGAGGGAGGATGCTCTCCTCCAGGTGGGA